TCTTAACCTGAGGCATCACTTTAGCTAATGGGGTCTCCTGCTGCCACTGTGCCAGCAGAGCACGATTTCTGTTCTCATCCTGAAGCAAAGTTCTTAACCCCAGGTACTACTTCTGGGTTGGCGGAGTCTGTTACCTGAAGCGTCTGTAACCTGAAGCGTCTGTAACTCGAGGTACAACTGTACTCTGAATTCTGTGCATCAGCAGATAAAAACGTCCTTTTGGTCAATTTTCTCAGATTTCTGCTTATCTGTATATTAATGGCAAAACCAAAACCAGTTTTTGAGGGTGGTGGATACCTACTTTGTTGGAGGGATAAAGAAGAAAGCATAGGACCTTACCACAAAAGAAAAGTCTTTTTCTGTTTTAAAACAACAAAACTGCAAGCCCCAGACATGCTGCTTCCTTCCTGCTTCAGTCTTTGAGAGGGAATATGAGACTGGCCATTGTGACCCCATGCTGATCTCCCCAGCTGGAAGGAGATGCTGGCCACTGTGACCTCATGGTGATGCTATATGAAAGACATCAGCCAGCCATTGTGACCTCATGCTGATGTCAATTTGCAGGAGAAAGCCCACTTACTGCCAGCTGGCTGGGAGCATCGGTTGTGGTCCAGGATGGCAATGGCGGGTCGGGGCAGCATCTTGGCTTTGGTGTGGCCGGGGGATGATTTCACTCCGTCCTCCGGCCACACTGAGCGATGGGGCTCATCCATGGTTGCAGCCAATTGTGGGCGAGCTCAGGGGCATGGTTTGGGAGCGAAACAGAAGGAAATCTTGGGTCAGATTCCATCACCCATTGTTCCCTACTCTGTGTGTTTGTGGGCTGCCCTGTAGAGGACCTTGCTGTGCAAATTTTCAGTCACAGTAGCCAGAGCCAGGGAGAAATTTGCCTTCAGACTGACTGGGTCTGTCTGAGGGTTTTGCCCATCTCATAGCAATTGTGACGACTTATGGTGGATAAGGCAATGAATTGGATCCTTAGTCTAATTGGACAAGGAATAGCTCCTCTCCCAACCCACCCCAAGGGATCAAGAGTATCCCCTTGATGGGATCCTGGGGAGGTGCTTTTGTCTGGAAACCCAAAAAAGGGACCGGCGCTGCATTTGAATGACCTCTGTATAAAATAATAACAAAGAAATAAGGAAAATTGGTACGATACATTGTAAGAATGTACAGTGGTACCTCGGGTTAAGTACTTAATTCATTCCGGAGGTCCGTTCTTAACCTGAAACTGTTCTTAACCTGAAGCACCACTTTAGCTAATGGGGCCTCCTGCTGCCACCGCACTGCCAGAGCATGATTTCTGTTCTCATCCTGAAGCAAAGTTCTTAACCCGAGGTACTATTTCTGGGTTAGCAGAGTCTGTAACCTGAAGCGTATGTAACCCGAGATACCACTGTATTACAAAATATGAAAAGACGAAGGTAATAATCATAGGTACATTCGATCTTAGAAATTTTAAATGCACTGGTAGTTGATGGGAAGTCTATCACGCATTAGTAAGAATGTTGAACAAAAGAGACTGTATAAGATTGAATAAATTTTTATTTGTATATTTACATAAGATTACTGACACAAGATTGTTTTTGGTTTATATAAGTTTGTTTTTGTTATGTATGAAACTTAATAAAGCATGGAAAACCTTTTTTAAAAAATGAACCAATGGGCCATGGCACCCCCAAAATGGTGATATTGTGGGTTGCCCCAATTTGATGTATGTCATAGGGTGATTCTTAACCTTGGTTAACCCTGCCAAATCAGCCAGCAGCCTAAACCTGCTGACACCTGTAATCAATAAAGCTGTGGCCTGTTAAATTCTCAATTGATTGTCCTGTGTTTATGGTAACTATATCAAGTCCTGCCCCCCCCCCACTGCCTGCAAAGGCTGACTATATACCTCCATATTGATGCTGCCTTCCTGAAGGAGAGACTGGCCACTGTAACCTCAAGCTGATTTTGCCTGCTTGGAGGATGAAGGAAAGAGAAACTATTTTATGTTGCCTGCACATTGCCAACCACTTTCATTAGAATGGTGACTTTTGTGTCCTGGAGCTACAATAATTTTTCCTAGCAAACGCAGGGCAGAATTCACACAGGGCTTCTGCTAGCACAATGAGCTTCCCCCCCCAAGCCCCTCATCACCCCCCTAATGGCTTGGGCAAGGGGCTTCAGGAGAACCCCAAGAGCCGTGCTTGGCAAGGAGGAGAAGGGGAAATAATTCTGTCTGGCGAGCAGTGATGCATGCAGTGATGTCACCATATTGTGACATTGAATTCCACCCAGTGAACCAAACTAACACATACCAGAAAGAAAAAAAGTAAGCAATGAAATGAACACAGATTGATTAGAGTATTGATCTTTAATTGTTTATTAGGAAATGGAAAGCAATTTGGCAAGATGCCAATAGTCCACTGCTCTTCTAAACGCCTGACTTTCTTTCCCAGTCCTTCCATCAAATCACCATAATTGGAGTGCCCAGGGAAAATAATAACACTGTAGTCAAAACTTAGATCTGCATGTCAAAACAAAAGATGCCATCCCCACTCAGTGGTGGCGTTTCTCTAGTCAGCTTGCTTCTTTCCTCTTTCAAATGCAGCAGTTGTTTTATATGAAATGGCAAAAAGCAGCATTTTGGGGCACTCGAGTCCACAGAGTGAGCCAGGATTCAAAACACCTTGTTTATGGTGAAATCTGACTTAGGGATATGAAAACCTCACCATGCACAGTCAATGCTGTGGTCTAAACCACTGAGCTTGGGCTTGCCGATTGGAAGGTCGGCAATTCGAATCCCCGTGACAGGGTGAGCTCCCGTTGCTCTGTTCCAGCTCCTGCCAACTAGCAGCTCAAAAGCACACCAGTGCAAGTAGATAAATAGGTACTGCTGTGGTGGGAAGGTAAACAGCGTTTCCATGCGCTCTGGTTTCCGTCACAGTGTTCCGTTGTGTCAGAAGTGGTTTAGTCATGCTGGCCACATGACCTGTTGGGTGTAGTGAAGGGTTAACCTTCTGTGCCTCAAGCCTGAGAGGAGGCGCGTACAAGGGAAGTACGCCAGGACGTGACGAAAGCAGCTTGGAATGCTGTGAGCTGAGTGGAAAGCGAAAGCAGGTTGTTGCGTAGCTGCAAGCAGACAGAGAAAATGCAGCTTGAATCTGATGGCTGTTATGGATTGTAAATACACTACTTTTGTGCAAATAAAGGGATATTAGGACAGAAGACACGTGTGGGACTTGTTTACTGCTCTTTCGACACACGCCGCTGTGTAACTCTGCTAATTGCTTTACGATCTACAGAGGCTCCCAGGGGAAGCATGGCTGGGCGCCGAACAATAAAGCAATAAATCTACCGAACATGACCCGGAAAGCTGTCTGTGGACAAATGCTGACACCCTCAGCCTGAAGTAAGATGAGTGCCACACCCCATAGTCGCCTTTGACTGGACTTACCCGTCCAGGGGTCCTTTACCTTTACCGAGTTTAAACAGCCTCTGAATCTCCAGTTCTTTCCTGCTTAGACACATTATGTCCAGGCTGCTTTGGGTTAAAAACACATGTGTATAACAGAGTTTCTCTCAATGAGAAGATTGAGCTGAAGAGCATGCAAATGAACATCCAGGCTCTTTCACCCTCCCTATTTATCTTACATGAGTGTTTCACATCCATAGGCTACCTGTCGCCTAATGATGACAAATGCCTACCTTTGTTTCTGGTTCTGTGCACTTAGGATTGTTGTCTGTACATCTTTATGAACTGTTGCACATTAAGAACAAGCCTTACAAATGAGATTGCTGCAGCAAAAATTGAATAAACTTCCATCCCACGTCAACCACAGAGATTAGACCTGAGCTATAGAAGCCTATTGATTCGTTTATGGATAACTGTGCAATGATACCCAGGCAAGAAAATAAATATTCCAGGTGTGCCCTCAGTCTGATTTCCTAAAAATCAAACCTTTTCTACCTGTCAAAAATGATGCATTTATTGGGTTAATGCTTGGATCTGCACAATCCAATTTAGTCATACAGTGGTGCCTTGCAAGACGAAAAGAATCCGTTCTGTGAGTCTCTTCGTCTAGCGGTTTTTTCGTCTTGCGAAGCAAGCCCATTGACGGATTAGCGGATTAGCGCTATTAGCGGCTTTTAGCCGCTAAGCCGCTTATCTGCTTATCCGATAAGCTGATAAGCCGCTTAGCGGCTTAGAAAAGGGGGGGGAAGGGGGGAAAAACCGCAGGAACTCGCAAGACATTTTCGTCTTGCGAAGCAAGCCCATAGGAGCTTCGTTTTGCGAAGCACCTCCAAAACGGAAAACTCTTTCGTCTAGCGAGTTTTCCGTCTTGCGAGGCATTCGTCTTGCGGGGCACCACTGTACTACTTAAGCAAATTGGGGGACATTTCAAATAAACATACAAACTTAGTTCTGTGAGTCATTTGTCACAGACACACAGATGCTGAACTAACTTTAGAAACTTCTACTCAATGTGCTGGCAAACCTTTTATTTTAATTTTTAAAGGGTGGGGAAGAAAAAAAACTCTGTTGTTTCATATTTAAAGGCATTAGAACGCCCCCCTGAAGATGTACTTGGTCCACCTTTATGAAGGTTGGATAGTTCAGCTCAGCAGCCATTTGCATGATGTGCAGAAGTATTCAATGTTTTCTGCACCATTAATACAACCAACTAGGCGATCAAGTGGCTTCATGCATTGTCTCTTTCCTCCCACAGCTAATTAGAGCTGCAGTGGTGATCCACGTGGCATGTGTCAGAAAGAATTAATCAATTGCTCCTCCCACCTAGTTTTCCATTCCTCCCCAACAGTCAGCCAGCATCCCATCACCGCTGATACCTTTGTTTTGCTAGTGGGTGGTGCCATCTTTTGCTACATTAGGATCTACTCTCACCTTTGAACTTCAGAACGAGAGGGAACAAGTGAGACCTGCAGCAAAATGTTGCAGCGCTTCTGTTCGGGGTCTTGGGAATTGTAGCTCTGAGTGGGGGGAACTACAGTTCCCAAGGTTATTTGGAGGATGACATGAGCTTTAAACAGATGGTATGGACTGAATCTATCCTGTGCCTTTATCCTCCTGTTCCAGCTGCCCATTCTATTCCCATTTCTCCCATTTCCTTCAGTCAGTCTCTCAACTTTCCATGCCACTAAGTTCTTATTGGGGCTGTTGTACGTTTTCCCCACATCTCTCCCTTTGGTTGTGGGGAGCTAGTGTGCTCATCCTTTCTATGCACCCAAATGTGTTTGCTCTTCATTGGATCTGAATGCCTAAACTGTTGGCACCCATCTGTCTCAAGTGACAATGGAGGGCACCTCTGGGGTTGGAGTCAAATTGGTAGAGAATCACAGAGAGCGTGTAAGGAGGTCCTGGGCTGCCCAGATGACAAGACCTCGCTCTTGGCCTTGCAGATGTGGTCCAAAGGTAAGCAGAGCAATATATTTGGCACCAGCAACATTTTAGGGACTCCG